GGGAGGAGGTAGGGAAAATTGGGAGTGAAGTTGAGCCTGGGAAGAAGGGAGGGGTGAGAGGAAGGTGTTTTTAAGATTTGTTTTTTATTTCTCATTATCCTACTCTGATTCGGTTGGTAATAAGTTAAACTAATTTCCCCAAGTCAAGTCTGTTTTGCCCATGATGGTAATTGGTGAATGATCTCTCCCTCTCCTTATCTTGACCCATGAGCCTTTCGTTATGTTTTCTCTTCCTTGTCCAGCCGAGGGGGGGGAGTGATAGAGCAGCTTTGGTGGGCACCTGGCATCCAGCCAGGGTCAGCCTGCCACACACACACCTACAACATAGCTTGGGCAAGGACTGAGGGCCCGTAGCTGAGCTTAAATGGAGCTCCTGGGTCATAGGAAGAAGATGTGGGTGGAGGCCACTGGTGAGGCTGGTCAGGGCAATTAAGGGCTGCTGTTAGGGCATTCAGGGCCTCAACATGGTGATCCTGGTTAGCTCAGTGTGGGAGCTGCTCTGTGTTGATGTTTTTTGCCATTGGCCTGGTGCCCATGAATGTGTTTTCCAGCTCCCCTGCTGCAGCTTGAGGGGCTGCCAGTCCCTGCCATGAGCAGCAGAACCAGTTCCAGCTCTCCCAGGGTTTCTGGTGCAGTTGGCACCTCTGATTTGCTCTGGTCCTCATAGTCCTGACACATAGCCAGGGATTTCCCAGTGTCTTTTAGAATGGTGGTTTTCTTGCTGGTGGATGAATGACTCATTGATATATTGCATCTGCTTCTGTTTCTATAGCTTTGTAAGACAGAGTGAACTAAATTTACTAAATCCTGGACTCCAGGTGCTTTTCTCTGAACTTGGCATGGACACTGCTGTTGTGGGGGGGGGAATGATGTTGTGCTCATCTTGTGGAGTCAAAGCTAGTGCTGCTGTTTTTGACTGGGTCTGAGGTGCTTGCATAGTATCCGTAGCAAGAGACCCGCATGGGATTTTTTAAGTATGTTTTCCAATCCAGCAGCAGTTGGTTCTCCTCTGCCAAAAGTGGGAAGCTTTTGCCTCTGGTTGAGGAGTTCACCTGGGTCAGTACAGTGTTGCCATCATAGCTGTGCTCCCATCTCCCTTGTTTTGTGACACTCTGCTTTTGGAGCAGCACATGAGGTGTGTGCTTCTGCACGGAGAATCTGGAGTCTATCCTTTGGCATCTGGTTGACAGACGTGTGCTCCTGAATACCACCATCTTCTTAGCTCTGCAGTTCCTGGTCAGACAGAAGCTGTGGTTATCACTGACGTAAACCATGCAGGACTGGGGTAAGGTTAGGGCAGGGAATTGTACCTGTCTGCCAAATCACATGCCCATACCCAAACTACTAACTCATTCTTCCTGTGATTTGTGTTCAACCTGTGGGCAGGAACTACCTTTAAACATGGCCAGCTACAGAGGAGGCTGCTCACCAGTGATTTAAGGATGGCACGTCTTTGTGCTGGATGATGGCTCTCATGGTTGTTCCTCCTTCTTCCCCTCAAACAGCTCCTGGAACTGCTCTCCAGTATCAGCTGGGAGCTTACCTAGCATGCTGTAAGGTCACTGTGCCACTCCATGATTAGTTGCTAGGGGATATGAAAGCAGAATATTAGCTGAACTTCCTTGCCATTATTGTCCCTGCTTTAGCCAAGCAACAACACAGTTGTCCTGATGTTTCTTTATAACAAAAATATTACATGTGGCAAGGAACGTGTTTTGCATGATCCTGTGTACATTAAGTTGTCCCAGGAGAAATAGCACTGATATTCCAATACTACTATTCACTGGTTTGCTCTTTTTCTTTCTGAAGTTGGAAAAGGCTTTTGAACACAGTAATTTTTCCCTGAGGGAAGGATGCTTTTACTGTCTGTGTTTGTGTTTACCTTTTTTTATGAGGCATAGTGGAAGAATAGACTGCAACCAAGAAAATGCTTTGTTTCTGTTTGTTGTTTTTGCTTCCAAACTCCTTGTGAGACGTAACACTTCAGAACTGGGGACTCTGGGGATGTTTGAGATTTGCTTATTTACCAGACCAGCAAAGCACTTTAATGTCTTCTTTGGGGACATCTTCTAATTTTGAAGCAGCTTTAAAAGGACTGCATATTTGTAGCAAGCACCTCTTGAGTGAAAGTGCAAACTGATGTTTAGAACATGATGATTAAATCGGTGTTGAAGTAGTTAGAAAATTCTTTCATTTAAATTCTATGTGTGTGTGGAAAGGGAGGGACACCAAATTCCAATCTCGGGTCTTTTGTTCTTTGAAGCTATTCTGCATCTAACCAGAAGGTGGAGAAAGGGAGACACAAAGGCAGTCAAAGCCACTGTACTGAAAATCTTTTATTTTTTTATTCTTATCCGGTGACCTGTGGTGTGGAGTTCTGTACAGAAGTCCGTTGGGTGTCTTATGATCAATGTCTTGCTCTGTCAATGTATGTTGAAGCAAAGAACGTGGTTTTACAGTGTGCCTGAAAATACAGTATTTCTTCCCTTCCCTTTCTGGCCTCACACTAGTCCAGCCAGCAGAAAATCAGTCATTTCTGTTGTTATTGCAAGTTTGTGCAATCAGATAAGTATCAACTTCAAGAGGCAAGCAGAATAGTGATGGTGCAGGTGGCTAGTTGCTAGCTTGGCCGTATTGAGTAGCCATATCCAAATAGAGGGAGCTGGAGACTCAATTTCAGGATGCTAGCAGTAAACTCATAATAAGCCTGTGTAATGGCTTGATTTTGAACTATGTAGACCGAGTCACCCAAGTACTGGACACTCCTGACCTCAATTCCTGTGTCCTTAAAGTGCTTAAGAACAGAAGCACTTGGGTTTAAAATAGATATTAATGTGCTTTGCTGTAGCTGTAGGGTTTGTCTTGAACCTTGTAGATACAATATTCTCTTTTAAAGTTGTAAGAAGTCTCTGGGGCAAAGCTCAAATAGACGCTGGGATTTGCAGCAGTTCTTTTTTTTGGCTATGATGGCAGTCAATTAGCGACTAATGTGCTTTTAAATTCCCTTGATAAACTTACTATGGATACATTTGGACAGAAGGACAGCGGGCAGCAGCATTGTGTGTCCAAGATACCTACTTTTGGGGATTAGTGGTTGCACTAGGGGGAAGTCCCGAGCTCAAAGAAGTAGGAACAACAGCCTTTCTTCATGATAAGTGTGAGACAGTTGCGTATCAACAGGCAGCTCAGGATTCTTCTCTACCTTGTTGTTTTTACCAACATTCAGGCTGTGCATGTGTTACACTGTTCTTAAGTAGGCATGTTATTAACCAGCATGAAGGAGGGAGGCATAAATGCTATGAAGCATTGGGAAGAAGCGAATTTGAGATGCATCCTTTCCTTACTGAGAGCAAAGATGTTAATGAGAACCTTCAGATAAGTTTTTCCAAGAACTTGGCACTTGGTGGTTGTGTGGCTGTATTGCCACTTGCTGCCAGAGATTCACACGGCTCAAAGCCTTGCAGTGTCACGCGGAGGAAGAAGCTAGTGCTGGAGCAGAAGCGGTGCAACACAGCCCTGAGCAATAGGTAGTGCTGCTGATGCAGCTATGCTGGGTTTGAGACTGTTACTTTTGGCGTGCGGCAGCTCCACGCACAGGTAAGTATTGGCATGTTTGGACCTGCCAGAGTACGCTTGTATTGCTGTGCTGCCAAGGGAAAGGAGACACCCACTTTATTAGAAGTGGGGTGCCTGATGACAAAGAACATCTCACCTCTCGGCTTTGGCCCAAGATACCCTTTCTCCTCCTGTGTATGTAGGTGCTGAGATGAGTTCTCAATTGTCAGTCCACGCGTGAGATAGCTCAGGGTTTTAGTTTGCAATCTTTGTGTAGTTAGTGTTAAACTGTGAGCGTTCCCTGTGTGTATGAGCCGCCTCAACCACATGCTTCCAGAAGCTCTCTGTAGCTTGACACAGCTGTGTGGAAAGAGTTCACTGGTATAATCATGGCAGTAATGCAGAACCTAAAGCAGAATTAGGCTGTATTCTGCTTTTTCCTTACCTGTGCTGCATTTTCTTTTCTTGCAGTGAGATCAGTCGGCTGGACCTGGGCCTAATTGTTGAAGTATGGAACAAAGGACTGATCTGGGACACCCTGGTTGGGACTGTGTGGATTGCTCTGAAGGCCATTCACCAATCTGATGAGGTTAAGCTGACACAGAAGCTTTATATTGACAGCTCCAATGTTGATAGTTAATGTGTTACAAATCTAGGCTGGTGCAGCCCAGGACTGTGCTCCTCAGAAAAACTTCCACTTGCAAAGCCAAGAAGGCTGGGTGGGGGAAGAGGGCTGTTGGCATCACACTGGGGTTGTGGATTTTTTTCTTTTTTTTTTTTTTGAAGGATGCTGGGATGCTGCCAACAGTGAGACCAAAACTGAGCTTAAGTAGGTATCTCTGGACTCATTTCACTCACATGGACTCAGAAAACAGGGTTTAATCTGTTAAGGAATGCATATAGTTGTCAAGTGTCTGAAGTCTTAAGGGCTGACTCCTTAGCTGATGCTCAAATTCCTATAAGTTTCTGCTAAAGATAGAGGGTACCCTGATAACAGGCAGCTTGACCTTTAAGGTAGACCCAGAGCATGTCTACATCATCTTGTTAAAGTTTCTGGTTGCAGTGTTAGAGGGTGTCTAGTGGTGCTAATATGAATGGAAAAAAGTAGGAAATGGGATGTGCCAATGTCTGTAACCGCCCTAACTACTGAATTTGGAGGTTCTTGCAGCTAAGCAGGACATGTTTGTTTCTTTACCTCAAATTTCAGGGCAATTATTTAAAAGATTATTGAATTTGAGCAGGGAGAGAGAGCTTGTATTTTCCATAAAAGAGTGGGGACGCCCAGCAGTGTGGCCACAAGGTCTAGCTGGTGCTCAGTTCTGGCTGTCCAGACACTCCTTGGTGTCTGCCTTTGAGGACTTACCTTTGCAGTTCCACTGAGAAGGCAGTAGTTCTGCTGGGAGGTGTTTGCTGCTTGTCTTGGTAAAGGCCTTTGAGATTTGGAAGAAAAGCTGCCAGCATGTGCTGAATGGATGTCATTTGATGTTAAAATCAGGTACCAGGTCTTGATAATGCGGTAAGGGTCTTCCTGAGTCTTTTATCTTAGCAAATGTGTGAGAGTTGCTGCATAAGGACCTGCCAGACTTGAAGCATCACCTGTGGCTTGTGATTCACAGGAAGGTCCTGGGGAGTGGGCTACGCTGGAGGCAGAAGTTGTAATGAAACATGATGAAATCTGTGGAACCAAAAACCCGACTCCTCATAAAATTTTGCTGGACACGAGATTCGAATTACCTTTTGGTGAGTGCCTTTCAATAACTTACTCAGGGTTCTGACAGTGGAGAGAAAGTGTTTGGGAGCACCTTGAGTTTTATAATCGTTGTGCTTGTTCACAGTTCAACCAAAATAGTTCAGTGCAAATTAAATTGCTGGTGTTCATTTCTTGTTTGGTTTCTTTCTAACAAGATCAGAATAATTAAGGAAGATTTGATGGTCTCAGAGTGCTGGAATGTTTAGACTAGCAGCAGTTTAAGTAACTATTGATACTATTTCAGGATTGTGCAGTTAGACATTTTGTTCCTGAGCAGGGAACATTCACTTCTTTGTACCTAGACAAATTTGGCTCTAGCAGAGGTCAAGTGTGTTGTTAAAGCTGCTTTGCAGTAGGTGCACTTAAACCCTGTTAGAAATGTGCAGTTCAGTTAGTGAAACATTAATGCTCAGTGCTCCTGAACATTATCATTAGCAGAGTATATAAATAACTTGGTGTTGTAAGAACTGCCTTTCTGGCAGTTACTTGTGGTTGAAAAGTACAGAATGTGAAAAAGTAGCTAATGGGAGCAAAGCCATCTCAAGTAAAGTTGTGTGTGATTTTTATTTTTTTTAATTTTTTTTTAATTTTAGTTTACTTAAATCCAAACAAAAAAACCCCCAAAACAGACAGACAAACTCCCAAAGGAAGGGCTTAACCAGAACGCATCCAAGGCTTACATTGCTCCTCTTTCTAGCTCTTAGCTGACTCTTGGGACCAAGAACAAAGATGGTGTTTTTGGGGCTTGTGGTATTTTTTTTTTTTTCTACAGTGGGCATTTAAGTGCTTCAAAGTTGTCTGTCATTGCAAGGCTCATCTCTCCTCCTCTGCCTGTTGCTTTTTTTTGCAGCCGAGCCCCTGGCAGTGTGAGCAATTTGCATCATGCTCTAAGCACTGGTGGAGCATTTGTGCACCCACTGGCATTTGGCCAGCAACTGCCAGGATTGGCCATCTGTTGTGGAAAAAAGTTAGGTCATCTATTAGTCTCATGGCCCCCTTCCTGGTGCAAAAGAGGATGCAGGCTTTGGCCCTGCAGCACTAAAATCGATATAAATTGTATCTTGTGCTCTGGGAGCTAAGCTGGGTGTACTGTTTTGAGTGCACAGTCAGCTGGATGGTGCAATTGAGGGTGAGCGCAGTGTTTTATAGATTTAATAGGCACTGCTTTTTAACTACAGTCCAGTGTGTAAAGGGGAAAAGGTATCTGACATCTCAGCTGTCTTGACAACTAAGCTGTCTAACATTGGTCTGGAGCCATCCCTCTTCCTCATGAAAATGTCCTGGTGATTCACTGCTGTCACCCTGTCAGTGGGAAGTTTATTACTGAGATTGCTTGTTACGTGAGAAGAGGAACAACTCACTTGATTTCCTTGTGAGGTGAAACGTTGGTTCTGTGGGGCAAGTGTTTAGGCTTCTGGGAGGGAGAGAACACAGCACATGTAGCTGAAGGCAAGGCTTGTAGCCGCTACCTTCTCATCTAAGTTTATTCTGACATAGTTGTTTGTAAACTGTCTCTGTTTTAAAAGAAAATGAAGTTCTGATCTCTCCCTATGTATTCAGAGAGTATCCAAAAGAGAATTTGCTTTCTTCTGCAATTCATGTTTTGGGCTGCATTACATTTTGTGAATTTTTTTTTTCCAAGTATAGGAAAACAGATTCCCTGTAAACCATTATGTGTTAGAGCATCTGGATTTAAAAAATAAAAAATATTTCAGGTAATAGTGTGTTTTCTCCCTACTGCTATACTCAAAACACAGGACTCTGTTGTTTGTTTGTTTATTTTGTTTTTTTAACTACTATTTTAAAATGTATGATGTTCTGTAGAACATAGAATTCTGAGAAGTAGGATTTCATGCAGAAGACTGAAAACATTAAGTCAATAACAAGCTTTTTGTGACTTTTCTGTTTTTAACGCAATTGATCATTTAAAGCATAGCTATTACTTATTCCTTTGCTTGCTATGCCAAATACTGAAATAACAGGAACTCCACACTGCTGTGTTGAAGGGCTTTTATTTTAGAGTGTGAAAAGTTGTCTGCCTGTCCAGTGTTTCATAACATCCAGGAAAAATGGGTGCATCAGTTAGCTCTTTCAAGGATTCTGCTGCTCTTCACTTGAAGAGTGCTGCAGTTTTTCTTGGATGTGCTCAATTTTCAGTCTGTCCTGCCACGGCAAGGTCAGAAGCAGGTTGAAAAGTGGTAGGCACCAAGAGTGTGGGATATTCCTCTAGAAGATTGGAACAGGCTGCCCAGGGAAGTGGTTGAGTCCCCATCCCTGGAAGTATTTAAAAGACGAGTAGATGAGGCACTTAGGGACATGGTTTAGTGGGTGGTGGTGTTGGGTCGACGGTTGGACTCGATGATCTTAGAGGTCTTCTCCAACCTCAATGATTCTATGATTCTATAAGATAGCATCTACCCATATCACCTTCTCCAGCGGTGCTTCCCTTCACACCATGACTGAACATCTCCTGCCATCACCTCTAGGATAGAGAACGTGTACTGTGAGACTTGGAGGGATGCATGGAGGTAGCTCGGCTCACAGCACTGCCTCTGTGTCTCTCCTGATGGATTTGCAGGGCAGTTTCCCTCTAAACGGAGGGTAGCAGTATGGACTCATAGTGCCCCACATGTTAAGACTGTGTTGTCATACGAGCTGGGAACCGCTGCTTTAAACCTACACAGAGAACTAAGCAGATCATTGATCTGCTGTGGAAATTCTTAAGTCAGCAGCTCTGTTGCTGTAGAGGTAACGTTTTAAAACCAGCATGTTTGCACTGACACTTAGGAACATTGTGTATCACATTTTGTTTCCCAGGTGAAGATCTCCTGGCTATTGTAGATATATGAGAACTGGAGCGGTATGTGTGCACATGTACAGCTTGTGCTGCTTTCCAAGTCTGGTAAAATACAGCTGTCTGGGATAGCAGCTTTAACAAAATAGTGCGTTCTTCTGTTTGGCTGTGCTTCTGTGCTTTCTCTATCATTTCTGGCTGCTCTGCTTCATTTAGGTTAGATGATGCATATGGATGCAGTACCCCAGGTTACTCAGTCTGTGTATTTAAAATGTTTCATTGTGTTTAGGCGGAGCTTGAAGTTTTTAAGGGATGGTAAGAGAGAATAAACAAATTTGAAAACCAGAGAAGTTGAAGTCCTTGGTGTAAACCATGATTGCATATGCAAAGAGGTTTAGAAACTGGTTTGTTGTGTGCACTATATTTATCCTGGATTAGTTTGCTGCTTCTGCTTCCCCCCGATATGTTCAGGATTCTTCCTCCCTGGTATGTGTTCTCCTGGTACTCTGGAGATTGGCAACAGCTAAAGCTGAAATAAATGCAGAATGTGCTGATGCTGCTAGTGGTAACACATGATGAAGGCAACCTAGAGATTTTTTTTTTCCCCCCTTTTTCATATGAAGTTGTTTTTAAGCGTTTACCAGCCTTGGAGTGGGGAAGCAATTTCCTAACAGAGGCTGGTGACAGCTGTAGTCTCTGCTCCTGGTGATATAAAATAACCTTTCCTGAGGCCATCCAGGAAACTTTGTTAATGCCCAGATTTCTAATGAGACAAAGAACATCTATGGTGGCCTTGATATATCCGCCATGTGTCCCATTGCACGTTCCAGATGCAGCTCTTGCTTTGTGTTCAGTAGTGTTGTGTCGTGGTTTAACCTCAGTCGGCAACTGAGCACCACACAGCCGCTCGCTCGCTCTCCCCCTCCCCCGGGTGGGATGGGGGAGAGAATCGGAAGAGTGAAAGTGAGAAAACTCGTGGGTTGAGATAAAAACAGTTTAATAATTGAAATAGAATAAAATAATAATAATGTACAAAGCAAGTGATGCACAGTGCAATTGCTCACCACCCGCTGACTGATCCCCAGCCAGTCCCCAAGCAGCGGCCCCCCCGGCCAGCTTTCTCCAGTTTATGTACTGAGCATGACGTCCCATGATATGGAATGTCCCTTTGGCCAGTTTGGGTCAGCTGGCCCCCCCTGTGCCCCCTCCCAGCTTCTTGTGCACCTCCAGCCTTCTCAATTGGTAGAGCATGGGAAGCTGAAAAGTCCTTGACTGGTGTAAGCACGACTTAACACACCGATGTTTTAGTTGTTGCTACCAACATTGTTCTCATCCTAAACCCAAACCACAGCACTGTACCAGCTACTAGGAAGAAAATTAACTCTATCCCAACTAAAACCAGGCCATGTTGTTAGTGTGACATTAGCTTGTGGTGTACAGGGGAGAGAGCAGATCTCTGGGCCCTTCTGCAGTGAGCATCTGTGTGTGATGGACTGAGGTGCTGGGGACCAGACTGTCATCTAACATTCTCTGCCAGCCCTATGTTCTTAAATGTTCAGTCTCGCAGAAACAGAATGACTGCAAATCCTCTTCTATAAAAGTGCAGCAAAGCGTGAGCATTTGAAATGTGAAGTGTTAGTGAGAGTTGATATTAACCCCTAGGGTGCAAAGCATTTTTATGTTTGGTAGTCTTTTAAAAATGGCAATAAACTGCCTTCTTGATGGGAGGAAGTGGTTGTTAGTGAAGACAGGCTGGAGCAGCTTTCTCCACTGATTATATCTGTTTCTTCTCAGGAACAAGACAGACATATGAAGGAAGGGAGACAGCTTTTCTTCTTGGTCGGTTTAGAAAATTTACTGTTGGGGATAAGACAGTCTTGCTATTATTGTCTTAATGTAGTGAATGTTTGCTGGCACAGACTTTCCAAGATGCTGCTTTTCAAGTGTAAAATTGTGCTGTTTAAAAGCAATTTTACTCTGTCCCCCTTTTTTAGAAGTGCAGTGGCTACATGCAAGTCCCTCACAGGATGGAGTACTCAAAAATGCTTTTGGCTCCCAAACTATAGCAGTTTGGGTCTGTGCCAGGCTGTTTCTAGTAGATAATTGGAGTGAAAATGCTTTTAGTGTTCTCATGACTCCCGGGCTGGGAGCATGCTGATCTGAGTCCAGCCAACAGATGGAGTAAATGTGCTTTGTTGTTTTATTGTCTTGGGAGCTGTACAGAAAGAGGAATGCTCAGCTCTGCAAAGTTATTTCAGTGAGAACTTGTAAAGATTCCTGTACCTCTGGAAAGGGAAGAAATTGGGGCTGGGAAGAGAGGAAGCCAAGTGTAGGAAAGTGGGGAGAGAGAGGGTATCGCTTTTACTTCCAGCACTTGTTCTCACTCATGCCTACCTGGGGTATGCCCCAGCCCAGGACTTGCTACCTGGGAAGAACTCAGGTGGCACAAGGTGATGTGCAAGGAGTAGAGCAAGGACCAGCAAGCCTGAGGTGATGAAAAGCTTTAGGGCTGAAACTCCTGGTTATTGCCAAGCTAGAGATCTCTAAGCGGGAATACTGTCATGTTTAGGTACCTGAGGGGGTCTAACTGTGAGTGAAGCAGTCTGTATAGATGCAGCAAATTCTCCTGTAATTCCTTCCTCAGTCTGGTAAGTCTCTGTACTGCACTGTCCCCATTTCTGTGGTAGTGCAGTGTATCCAGGTGTCAGGGCCCTGGGTGCACTGATATGTCTTAATTGCTCTGAGCAGCCTCACCTGGGACCTCCACCCACACCCCCTGCTCATGGGCCCAGGAGTCCCACTGCAGCTCAGCTCTGAGCCTTCACTCCTGAGTGGTGCTGTGGGAGTTACTGATTCCCCACCTCAGCCGTAGCCATGTCTGTGCCTGCTTATGGACCCCATAGATCCAGGCCCAGATGTGGGCTGACTTCCTGGCTCGACCTCAGATCTGCCTTGTCACCATGGACCTGCCTGCCGATCTGGGCTCCTGGTTGAACCCGGCCATGATCTCTGGGCCTGACCTGCTCACCTTGCTCAGGTGCTGTAGGACAGGGCCCTGGCTGGCGAGTCCCCTGCCCTGCCAGCCACAGAATCTCCCTTGCCTCCCCTCCCTTAGGGAGCAACCAGACCTCACTGCTCCCTGACACCAGGAGCCCAGAGAAGACAGGGGGTTCAGCTTCCAGCTGAAGACAGCAGTAGGAGCAAGGACAGTAAAGCTTGCAACCTTTCCATGTTGGTATCAAGTTAAGAAACCCCAAAACCTAGTGAACAGATCTGTTCTTGTTCAGCAGTTTTGTTTCACTGACATACAGCCTTGCTCCTCTTGTTTACCAAGCATGATGTCAGCAGGGTCCTGAGCTGGCATCAGATGGCCTCTGTTTGGACTAGTTCAGCTTCTTATCTTATAAGCAGAAGTTAATGTAGAAGAGTTACTTAGACTTGTAATCAAAGCTGAGCAGTGATGTAGGAGCTGGCCAGTGGATGTGGCCTTGCAAGCAGTCAGTTTGTGATCTCTGCACAAGGGCTTTCCATTCTTTGCGTTCCAAGGAACCGGCTTCAACAAAACAGCTGACTGAAGCGAGACACGAATGAATGGTGAAACTAAAAAATAATTATAAACAGCTTCCTCAAAAAATTGAGAATTCTGTCTCATTGGGCATTTATTCTTCTGAGCAGGTAACTTGACTCAAGTTCATAGGCCAATTGCTTCATGTTTAAGGTTTGCTGTGCAGTAGCTGTACTGCCATTAATATTGATGACAAGTTTCTGCAAGATAAGACTATGTCCTTGAAGCAGCCAGTATCTAGACAGTAGCAGATTTTTATCTCTGACTTGCATAAGAAGCTGTTTCAAGAGCATAGCAGCAATCCTGCACTAAAAATCTGATAGCTCCATTTATGAAACGAGCACCTTGGGTACAAGATAGGAACAACAAATCCAAGAGACACATGGTGCTCCTTGATGCCTGGGCATGCCGCTAAACCATGGTCTATGGGAAAGCATTGAAGCCTACCCTGACACAACTGCAGTTCCTGCAGTGTTGATGGTAGTCCATTGCTTCATCCCTCCTGCATCTCTTTGGTCTTGATTTCAGGCTCCAGAGTTGAGTTGTTTTCACTCTGACCTTTAGTCCTCTGTTCCTGAGTTTTTCTTCATCTTTTAGAGAAGCGATGGCTTTCAAAGACAAAATTCCATAGGCTTTGGTTTAATGTTTGGATTGCTTCAGGTCTTTGTTGGAGTTTGTCCTCCTAAATCTCATCAGGTTGTATGCTGATAGCCCTTCAGTTAATTGATGTCCTCTTTCTAGATCAATTCTGTCCAGATTTCCTCAGAATGCCATCCCTAATTTGGGCGGAGCTCATCTAATAAATCTGTGCAGCTGTGATCCATAGCCCTGATGATCAAAAGCATGTATGTTTTTCTACAACTCCTGTAATTGTGGAAGACACTCTCATATTTCTCTTACCTTGTTTTCTAATAGCATATAACAACAAAGCAATGTACTGTACGTCAGAAAGAGCAACTGGCTCTGTGTATTATGGTTAAAATAAATTACTTTGCTGGTCTCCCTTCAAGCAAGGAGAAATAGGTTGTCTTTTTTCTACTTAATGCAAGTTTTCTAGAGCCAGGTACTAAGTTTCCAGTTGCCTAAAACTTTCTCAAGTGGGGCCTGTTTTATCCCCCTTGTCTGGGTGAGACTAGCTGCATAAAAATACAGTGGTGTTTCTGTTACAAAGGTGTAGACATTCATTTGTAGTCCAAGGAAACACCTACTTCTGAAACTTCAAATTCCACTAAATCTGGCATGTTCCTTGTTCTTGTTGAAAGCGGTTCATGTTCTAGTACACTGGCCACTATCATCTCCAGATGTTTTGGGGTCACTGGCTTCATAAGATGATGGTTTGTGTGGCTGAGAAGGGACACACGTAGGGCAGATATCCCCGTTAAGTATAAGAAGAAAGCAATACTTGGTCCTTTCTGGAAGCACGTAGGTCCCAATGGAATGCTCACCTGCCAGTAAATCTTGTTCTTGTTTCTCTCAGGAGCAAGAGTGGATGTGACTTTTAGAACCACCTTTTCACCAGGAGACCATCCCAGCCTACTTCTCCCATTCTTGCCAACGCATAGCTTAGCATATCATTGTGGCTGTGTTCATGGGGTACAGTTCATTGCAGGAAAACAAACTTGTTAGATGTAAACTTCTTGGCTCCTAATGAGGCACCTGAGAGTGTAAAGAGTTACAAGAGATGGGAAAACTAGCTGAACTGGTATTATACTCATCCTCATTTGTCAGTATTTGGGATGGTGAGGCTTGCAGGGTTGGTGGTGTCTAGCTGGAGCAGTCCCTGCCTCTGCCGCTTCCTTCCTGGGTGAGCTCTGAAGTTTCTGCATTGACGCAGTTTTGGGCCATGAATAGCCAAATTTCAGATCTCGTTGCCCCTTCTTGGAGGCAAGACCAACCAACCACTCTACAGTCAGGGGGATGTTGAGTGGCTAAAAAAAAAGCCCCAAAATTTTTTTTCCCTCTTTCCAATTATTTTATATGCCCCCCATCCCTAAATAATTTACCTAATTCTCCTGGACTGAGAGCCTGACATGCTTTTTCTTTCAGTGGGTTATTTCCCTTGGTGCTGTGCACCTCTTGCTCTATTCTGTAAGCACAGTTTGTACCTAAGTTGCCTTCTGTTAAGCTTTCCACAGCAGTTCGTCTGCACCTCTAAGGGTGCACTTTGAGAGATGAAATTTTGAGTGGCAGAAGTCTATGTTCCCTTCAGCCCATTAGGACACTGTATTACTTCAAAGTGTGAAACAGAAAATAGTTACCAAAATAAAGGTGATAATGCTTGCTACTTGCTGTCAGTCATCAACTTGGTAAATCTTCTAGAAGGTAAAAGGGTTGTTGTGATTCATTTCACAATGAAGTTGCAGTGTGTGGTAAAAATAGGAGTGTGCTTTCATGTAAATATGGCTGCCTATAACACTGTTCATTACCTCAAAAGATTTGGCTTATTGCCTGCAAAGGAAAACAAGAGACTATTTCTTTTTTGATACTGAATTTGTGTTATGCCAGGTACGTAAGAAAGATGTGCTATTCAAAAGGACCCCTTGTTCTTTTGAGGTTATAAAAGCCTCCAGAAGAGGCTCTTGATCTTGCCATGTGTTAACAAGCATATAGCAAGTGTATTCATAACATTGTGAAATGGCTCTTCATAAAACTAATACTTGAATTAAATCTGAACCAGTCTGTCTTACTCTTTCCTACCTTTGTGCAGCGTGCATTTCATTAATCAGCTTTAAACAAGAAAGCAATGTAAGCCCTTGAACCGTGTCACTATTTACAATGTTTATTTTCCATCTGAGTGCTAACATAAGACAGTCCTATTACTTCAAAATTAAGTGTGGATTTTTTGTGGTATGATCTTGGAATACTTTCCCTGTTTTAATGCTACTGGTGATAAATGCAAATTTGCCTGGTTGATAAGATGGTGTGACTTATTCTTTTGGTATAGATATCCCTGAAGAAGAGGCCAGATACTGGACCAGAAAATTAGAACAAATAAATTCACTGGGAGATGATGAGGTAAATATCTAAATTGAAAGGTGAATTTAGCCCTGAATGCCTTATAACTTGCTTTTGTTCTTTGTAGTGGATCCCTGTGATTAAGGTAACTACTAAATGTTCATCATTTACAAGTCTTCCATGAACTGTTTACAGAACTGTTTTCTCAGGTATACTGTTAGTGTGAAGGAGAGGAACATTTTTCTGCATGCTGGAGGTGCTCAAATAGTGAGAACTGTTTTGATGATGTGCATACACTCAAAGGAAAGGTAATATCATGCTTTACCTCACAAGAGAGTGAAACCATTTTTGACAAGCTGTGGTAGGTTCTCTTCATTTGTTAAATCAAGTCAAAAGGGACATTTTTGCAGTTAGCTGCTTCTGGGAAGAAGACAAAGCAAGATACTGAATCTTTCTTGGAACTGAGGACTGTTGGAGCTGTTAGCTTTTTTTCCTAATCCAGTTGTTAATGGCTCAGTTTATGAATCTTATATTATAATAACTGCTGGCTATGGCTTTGGTTTCCTGTTTTTTCTAGTGTGTACTTGGCTAAACAGCTATAAACTAAAAGTTACAATTTTTTTTTTGCGAGACTAGAACAGTTGCATGATTAAATCTTTTCTTTACAGTTCATACAGCTTACAAAATATGATTTGACATATTAATGCCTGTACCAGAAGTTTAGCATTTTTTTAAAAAAAACCCTCATGTGTCAATGTCAACATAACTGAGTAGGAATGTGGTGCTTGCTTAAACTCTTAATAGGTGTCTTTCTGTAGCAAGGTAACTTGCAAAATGTTCTGCCAGTGACGTTAGTAGGTTTTTGTTCTGGGATCGTTCATCTATTCTTTTCTGCTCCTTATTTGAGTCATTTGGTTTACTGTGCAGATGGAGAAAAATAAGGTGGGTTTTCTTTTTGACTGAGGACAGATCAGTATTTGGGAGGATGAAAACATAACTGCTTGAGGGCAACCTCCCCTGCCTTCCTAGAACTCTGAGAACCTCTTGGAGTTGATGACAAAGCTCAATCTGTGATTTGGCCTGTCAGTGACACTGCTGTGGTGCCTCCCTGCTCCTGTGGACTGTAGCAGCAGTCTGTGCCAGGTACTTCAATGAAGCATAGGTGCCCTCTAGTGCTTCACTGAACTGGGACTTGCTGAAAGATGTCCTGAGCTTTGTGAGACACCCCTTTCCCTGGAGTGCCATCCATATGCATGCTAAGTGCATGCTTTTATCAAATACTGTAACAAAATCATGTCTCTGTATTTTTGACCTAATGATCTCAAATTTATTATGGATGTTCCCTGTCACCAGTGAGAAAATGAAAAAAATGTAGGAACACCTGTGCAGGGCCTGACCTAAGGTTCATCTTGTCCCATGTCTGACAGCGACCCAGAGTGGGGATGATATCTTCCTTGCATATTCCCCTAATTTGCAGCAACTTGTAGCTCAGGAACTTCCAGAGCCAGAGGCAGTATCTTTGTGTTTAACAGCACTTGATGGATTTTTCTTCTGTGGATGTCAGTTGCCTTTTGAATGCACCCAGGTCAGTTATGTTGTAGCAAAGGAATTCAGCACCTTAATTATGTGTTGCCTGAAGAAATATCTTATTTGCTCTGAGCAAACAAACCCTATGTTGCAAACAAACCCTGTGTTGTGAAACCAGCTGGAGGCAGGTTTATTTGCAGAACTTGAATGGCTGATCCTCATTCATCCACTCTGTGCCACTCAGCTTTACAGACCTCACCTTCTTGCATGGCTTTGGGGCTGCAGAGTCCTAGCCTGCATGGTGGTATTTAGGACAGGACAACTTTGTGCCTTTATCTTCTTTTCTGTGAGTTAATTTCAGCTATGTCAGTTTGAGACAATGGATGAACAGACTGAAGTTACACAGCAGTGTTCAAGAAGCAGGTTCATCTGGAGCTTATTTGGTGTCATAAGTTTTCCAGTCTCTATTCCTACAAAGACTTAATACTCAGTTTTCTTTTTGGGACTGCTGATAGCCATTGGGCTGATGTCTTAAAAAGAACAAGCTACTGCTATTTTTGGATCTGAGTATAATAATTCAGAACCCAGTGCTGTCCTGTGCTGCTGAAATTGCTCATCAACAGACTTCCTTTCACCACTTTGTCAACCAGTCAGTGCTGTGAGATCCATCAGTTCTTGTTTTCACAATCCTGATTAACTCAGTGAGTTGGCAGTTTGCTGATGAGAAGACTAACCACCTTTCAGGATCACTTGTGCATTTTAAATAGCACAGATCGGAAGATAGCCGCAGCAGAAGTCTGCAGGTTGTCACCTTCCATGTAATGAACTGGTCGTTAATCCTTACCAAATCCAAAGAGGGGCTGTCTGGTGGCCCTGTCTTGCACAGATTGCAGCACCAGCTTGCTAAGGTTGCCGCTTCCGTTGTCGTCGGACTTTTTTTTT